GTTCACATGTTTTTCTGACGCGTCATTTGCTCCAACTGCTGGGAGGTCAAGGTCTGGGATGGTGTACATGATAGGATCTAGCATTCTTGATTGGGCATCCACAAAGCAGACGCTCACTGCATGGTCAGCCACCGAAGCAGAGACGGTTGCCATGTCGGAGTGTTTGAGCCAAGGAGGTCGCATGCAATCAGCAGTGGACCAGCTGTTAGGACATGCGCTTCAAATCACGCTGAGATGTGACAACTCAGCTGCTATCATCCTGGCTTTGAGGGAGAGCTTTCAGCCTTTGAAGTGGAAAACGCGGGGGGTTGCATTACGAGCAAGTTGGCTGCGTGATTCAATTCATGATCTTGGCGCTGCGGTCATCCACGAGCCGGGGGAAGGCTTGGTGGCAGATCTTCTCACGAAGACTCTCCCCAGGGTCCGGTTACAAATCCTTCGAGAGAAAGCCGGACTCCACAAGCAAACCTAACACGTTTTGCACTACGAGCAGATTGACATGAGACACTTTTTAGGTCTCCTCAGTTCAGCTTCTGAATTTAGAAACATGAAGAGCTTTCACTTCCCGGAGAGTGGTGGAGAGCTCCGAAATGTGCATGACTCACCGGTTTTGCCGAAGGAATAGTCCAGTAAGACCGGAAATCAAGTAGTTTAAATATCCTTTTGTTTAAATCCACTGGAGAAAGCTGCAAAGATCGCCAGTTGAAGCCACTGGGCATCAAGAATCAACAAACACCCCGAAACAAGAAAGATGGCATTACAGGTCGCGGGGGTACCTGACATGAGCAATTGTGTTGCTTTGCATGATAAGGGCGATCAAGGTAATCTTTAGTGGTAGGCAGTTTGTGCTTATATGATCGAGGCAGCATACAGCACAAACGACGTTTGAAGTGTACGCTGAGGAGGAGTGTTTGTAAAGCAAGCACAAATCCGAGAAGTGTACCAAGGTCAAGTCCTCAGAGTTCGTGCACGGGTGCATGGCACCCGCGCAAGGATGACACGCACAAATCGGTGCGAACTTGGCTCAAGGGTCAAGAGACCAAAAGAATCGAGTGTTATGGTTGTGAGTTTTTGGGAGTGTGATTGGGGAAGTGTGGGATGAGTTATGATGCTCTTGATGATGTTCCTTGGCAAGTCAAGAACAAACGGCAGCAGCAACAGCAGCAGCAGAACTCGTCTCCGACTTTCAGCATTATAACAGACTCGTCATCTCCACAACAACCGGGCCATAACCATCAGTAGCTTTTGTTTTTGGTGTGCGTGTTTGTTCGTTTGCTTTTGCTTTTAATGCTCACTGTGAGAATATGTGAGAATCGGGTGAAAGTACTCTGAACAATAGCTTTGCAGAAACACCTCAAGCATGTTTCGGGGCCTCCTGCCACTCGCTGCATGAGGTTGTGAATGTGACATGTCCCTGCTTTGGCAGTGCTCCCCAAGTGGTGCTGGCAATTGCAGGCCTGTGGCAAGTCCAAGCAGGACAAGATCGAAAACCGTGCTGAACCGGCTGTCGATGTCCTCAGAAGCAGGATGCATCGGGACTGCGGCTACATCCGCTGCAAAGGTTAGCGGTCCGATTCGCACATGCACCTTCTTTCCTTAACACGTAAGAGAACGAAAACGATGAGTCCGATGCTCTCCGAAGAAAGCCAAAGCCAGATCCAGACAGGGTTTGGGCAAAGCTGCCCAACATGTCAAGAGAGCGGCTAAAGCTACCGGTCAAGACATCGAACCGTCCAACCTGGCTTGCATGTTCACCACATCTCTTTGCCCAGGGTCTGGTCCGTCCCAAGCTCGGTCCGTCGACGCTTGAGTGGAGCTGTCTCCTGCGGTCCGCGTGGGCGATGTGGCTTTGCGGCTTTATGTACCCCATCGCACAGTATGCAGGATTCATAAGTAGACGTTGCTGTACACTGAAGTCCTTGCCGGAGACTTCCTTTTGCTCCTCGGCCTTCAGTACAGCAAAGCTCCAAACCTCACTATGCCACCACGCTGCAAAGCAAAGGAGCCTCCTCAATCGGACATTCATCCTGCACGCAGCAACTAGTGAACTAGTGCCAGGACAGTACTTTCGAAGTGTGACAGCTCGTCTGTTGCTTCGCCGCGGCCCTGCCTGTTCCACTTTCTGCTCTGCTTCAGCCTACGGCCGTTCCGCGCACAGATGTCGCAGCAAACTCAGCACACGCCCCAAAGAAGCCTCCATATCGTGCTGGCAAGCACTGGCAATCCGAACGGAGGCCTCTCCGCGAAAGGCTGCAATATATCTTGCTTTTTCTGCTTTGCAGCACAGCTACTTGGCCTTCAAGCGCTGACATGTAACCCCTGCAGCGTACTCGATTTGCTGGAGTGCGCTGATCGGGACCCGGAGCTGCAGCATCAGCCTTGAAATTCGAATTTCAGAGTCTACGCACACCAGGAAAAGAGCCGGGTCCAACCTATCAGTGCCATATTGCACCGCACGGACGTGGCAGCCCAAATCGGCACCTTTCTCCTCGGCCCGGAAGCTGCCGGAAGGTGCCAGAAGGCTTTTGTGAGGAAATCCGAAATGCGCTAAAAGATGCCCAGGATCTATGTTGAAGACCGTGGGCTTGGCGGTCGATTTCTCATGCAGCTGACGATCTCTATCGCGCTTGCCACAGCGGTGATTCCTCGGAGCCTTCAGTGCTTACTGCCCATTTCGACCGTCGTCTATGTGGAGTTCACGAATCTAACCATCTTTGGCGGCCGAGAAACCGAGCGCTGGGTATTCGAAGAGTAAGATGCATCGCGTGTATCCAGCCACATGCCCTGGGCTAACACACTAGTCCCAGCAGCGAGTGTGTGAAACTTGTAGATGCGGGTCCGGAGAATCCACTGTCCACCGTGGAGTCAAAGAGTCAAAAAGCAGTGATGCCATGGCAGGAGGCACCAGGCAAGCACAAGCGTTTCCGACGGAGCTCTGAAAGGAGAGTCTTAACGCTCTGCACCTTCGGATAGTCTTAACACCGTGTGGCCAAGACGCACAGTTCTCGCAGTACCACCAAGACCTGGAAACGAACAAAGTGCCACGGAACTGCAGGGAGCAGAGAATAGAAAAGGAATCGGTGCCTCAGGTTGTTGCCGAAGTGGGAAAGCACGAAGCGTGGCTTGTCGAGCTTCTCCTGCGAGCGAGACGGCACGAAAGTGAACAGTTTTGAAAAACAAAACCTGCCAACTACATCACCACCTGCAAGGGTTTAGTTCATCTTTCAAGATCCTCCGATCATTTGGGGCGCCGGTGGTCCTGCTGGGTTAACATGATGCGGCGCTCAATCACCTCGGTAGAGGGCTGACATCGCCTGAAATTCTGGACGGTACCTCACAAGGCACTCTGAGGGCAAAACGCCCAGGGACACCAAGGCCTCCGCGCGCGCTGCTACACGTGGTTGTTGGTTCACAGTCTGCCAACCCCAGCAGACTTGAGCGTATTGCCTGCAACTGATCTTCCCGATCGATGATTGTAGCTTCGTCGCCTGCAAGCGATTGTCAACACGACTTCTGAAGGTGGCAAACATGAAGTCGAGGGCTTTCAAGCGACGAGACGCATTCAGATGCAAGTCACAAGCGCGGACCTGCTGACTTCAGGATCAGCCCCTCTGTCGGTGAATCCGGAGCCTGTCGTCTTCTGCACGGGTCGTCGTCTGTGCGCAAAGCCGCTTAGTCGAGCTCGGAGCTCGGGCCTCGATGCCGATCTCCTGCTGCGTGATCGCACGCCAGGGTTGCTGCCCACCCAGCGCATCCAGGAGCGCGGCTGGCTGGAGTCCGACTGCAGCCTGCACGGCGCGGCTTCCGGCGCGGGCTTCCGGCAACAGTTTCCGGCGCTCTCTGCCTTGAGCTCAGCGTCAATGTGCTGCTCACCAAACAGCAGCGCTTCTGAAGATTTGCCCGTCCTGTGGCTGTCGAAACGTAAGGTCTTGCAAAGATACCGCGACACTTAATCAGGAGACGGCAATCCTTGCTGCCGTCCGGTCCTTCTCGTCTTTGGGTGCGCCACCCACCCACCGCTGTTCCTGCTTCGGAAAAGACGACCGAGCAAAGCGGAGTGGAACTCACATTATCCAACACACAGGTCCTGACGCTTCGAATCTTGAGCAACAGCTTTGCATCTTTGCGAAAAGTAGGCCATTCCTGACTTCGCAATCGGTCCAATTACTGTGAATTGCGGCAGAAGGGCGCATTCGCCGACAATGACACTGCGCTCAGAGGATCAGAGTGGATCTCACGGAGAAGCAGCAAGAAGAGCGGCTTCAAGTCCACACCTGGGATCCGCAATGGCTCATCGTCGACCAGGCCCAGCCAGGCCCAACCCACAAACTGTTGCCGGGCAGCTGAATGGAACTCGCTTTTCCTGATCCGGCATCATCATCCTGTTCGACCACCTTTGGTCACTGTGGTTGCACTGCGCCGACCGAAGCCCCGCAAGAGGAAGACAGTGATCCGAAAACCAAGTTGCTGGCATATGATTAACCATCATGACGGTCTGCACCGTGGCAGATGCTCCTGACAGCACCCCCTGCACCGAAACCAAGTGAATACACAGGCTTCCACACCTGTGGAGTACTTCACGAGTTCGGGAGGTGCTTCCCCGTCAGTCTCGTTCAGAAGATTCGGAAAGTGCTTTACCAGATCCAAGAGAATCTCCTGACGAGCAAAGCGCCACGGCGAGCTTTGGCTCTGCATCTGCCCCGACCTGCGTCTCGCAGGCTTCCGCGAAATAGCTCTGCAGGCGCCCCGTTGTCCACATGCTTTCGAGGCCTGACGACGCACTCACGACGGATCTCTGCAGTTGGCGTGCATCCAGAGGGCGCTGCCTGTGCTGCCTTCTCTGCACCTGCTCCCCGAACGAAGCTCCAGCAAGCACGCGTGGTGCTCGATTTTCGTTGGCCGTCGTCCATCTTGGACAGCCAGTCAGCTTTCAGGGTGCTTTTACTGGCCGGCTATGAAGGAAGCCATGCGGTAGTGAGGGAGCGACCCTTCCATCTTTCTTGCAAGTCCTGCCTGCCATAAAGTATGCAGAAGTCATCTCGACATGTGTGATGTCGATCTCAATGAACAAGTTTTGCCAAGATACAGCTTCTGTGCCAACCGCTTGACGGAATTCTGGTCAGCCTGGATACCACAGGAAAAGCGCAGCGGTTCTGTGCCTCTGAAAATGCCAAGCTGCCCAATCCACGCTGCCAACGAGAGCATCCAGCACTGCCGGCAGCCTGTCAGGGTCAAGGTGCTTCTTGAAAGCAATGACACGAAGCCACCATGATCCAGGCTCCTCTTGCCTGAGCTTGGCCGCTTGCAGATCGCGCCGCATCTGAGCATTTGCATTCCTTGAGATGCTGACATCACGGACCTGAAGCTGCCTTGTGAATTGCACTTGTTGCAAGAGCTCCTCATGATGAGATGTAGCCAGCCGAAAGCATCCAAGAACTTTCCGAATTTTTGCCCTGGCCGCGTCCGGCTGTGCAATGACAGGGATACGAATCTCAAACATGCAGGAACGACGCCTGCCTGCCTTGAATACCCTAACCACCTCTGCCTCGTCATCTGCCTGGAGCTTCCAGGGGATGCGTGCGCCGTTCACAGCCAACCCACAATGACAACGAATGTCTTGTAAGCCCACGGCGGCTGCACATTTTCCCTCTGCAACCACCCTGCAGTCTGGAGATACGGTAGCCTCTCACACAAACGTTGCTGCACAGGTTTATGCAATGCCGCATGGCGATGACTCTAAGTTTGTCTTGTTCTGCACAAATGCTGCCTGCCTGGGCAAGGGTGATGCACGCATTGTCTTCTGCGAGGGGCATGGAGGGCTTTGCACGGATCGTTCTCTCGGTCGTCAACATGCTCCCCTCGGACGCAATGGGACAGGACACATGGATGGGAAACGCTCCACACAAGCCAGTGCCATGACAAACGGAAGCTGGTGATCGGCTACTGCGAAATCTGCGAAGTAGCAACCCATCATGTTTCCTATGTCCTTTTGCAGCTCGGAACCTCAAAGACGGCGGCTATGCTTCCCTTCAGCTGTGCCTGTGACCCAGAGGCGGGGAGCCACAGACTTCACTATTGCAGCCGACCTTCTTCTTGGGAGCCGGTTCTTGCTTCGACTTCGGCTTGGCCTCACAGAACGATAGATGCGGTTAAATTATCGGTCCTCTCCCTGGAATCCGATTGCTCTTAGGTCCATGCAGCAAAAAAGCACTACCTACTCATACTTGCCTTGGATTTTGGACGCTTCCCTGCATCTGCGCAAGTTGCAGCCGTCGCCTGGCTGGGGATCTCTCATCTCTACTTTAACTTGGGCATGTCGTCACGCGAAAGCCAGGCTGAACCTGCCTGCCTACAGTAGCCAATAGATCGTTTGCAGTCAAGGGCCCCAGCCCCCCTTTGCAGCAAGGTGTGGCATATTGCTTCTAGGGTCCTTTTGCTGCACGTTGCCTTCAGAGAAAAGCCACAGCAGCTTCTAGTGCTTCCTATGTATGAAGAGTTGAAGAGTTGGTGAAGTACCTGCGAAAGAGCTGGGTTACCAGTGGCCGTGCAGCCCTTGCCTCGCTGTGCTCAACCTTCTTCTCAGTGGCCTCTATAGACTGTGCAGCAATTGCAGATCCATGTTGCTGCCAATCACTCCCACTTATGCAGGCACAAGACTGGCCCTGCGCTCCCTGCCTCTTTCCCTGGATGAGATTCCGGATTCAAGAGCTTGTTTGGCAGCGGCAGCTCCAAAACAGGCTCCCCCTCTGCACTGATCTCACCTCTGCGGCCAGCCGACCAGCATTCCAGAACCCAAATGGAAAGAACATGAAAGAACCGAATAATGGCACGGAGGCTGGGGTACGCACATGGATCACGTCGAACACGCTTTGCAGCACCCTGGATAAGTTCCGAGGGGTTGTCTTCCCACAAACATTCCGTTTGGAGCCTCTGACTGCGAGGCTTCGGGCTCGCGTCCTGAACCAGGTGCCGATACAGGCGACAGAAAAATTTGCACGAATGTCCCGGCCTTTCTCGAAAGTCGGCTCTGGCAACGGACCGGAAGCCTCCCGCAGGGCTCTCCGTGCTATTTACGAACTCCGAGACGGAAGATCACCCGCAAGGCTGATGGACTGCGCAGCCCTGAACGCAATGTCTGGATATGTGAAGATTTCGGTGTGCGCCCTGATGCTTGCTCCCAATTGGCGCACTTGGCAAACCTCGTGCTGCTCACACACCGAAACAGCGGTGCACATGCAGCAATTGTAGAAACCAACAGTGATGCGCCAGCTACCGTCTATTCAAGCAAGCTCCTTATGCTGCTAGCATGCTCAATCTGCATAAGTTTCTGCATGTCAAGCTTTTGTCGGTCCGAGCCTGCACCAGGATCCTACTGACAAAACTTAGCAAAACCCAGGCCCAGTGCCTGGCTGTGGCTTCGGCCTACAACGAGCTCCTGCCACCGAACCACAAACACCTTCAAAACCACGTTACATCCACCGGTCCTGCACTGCGGCACCTATCCTGCCATGTTTTTGCAGCGCATCAGCTGCAGCACTGGCATCGAAGCCCATCGACTGCGACAAAGACAAGCGAAAGCTTCAAAGCTTCAATTCATCAATGGTTATTGCCATCTGCCTTCATGTAGCTGCGGCAGCTGCAAGCTCAACCCTCTCTGGGCATGCACCCGACGCCGACACGCATTGCTTTGCTGGCAGCCTGCATGTGCTCCAGGGGAGATGGCATATCCTGCACAAGTGCCGCGCTGGATATCAGTAGCTTCGACCAGCACGCTGCAGGCCTCGAGTTCCTTCAGTAGCTGGCCCACTGCAAGCTCTGCAGATCCTGCCAGAACAAAATCCGCGCTGCGGACCCTCTATGGCTTTACACCTTTGAACAGGACTCCACTCTCATCCACTCTCAGCCTCTGTTCTGCTGCAGGGCCAGCTCAACACTCCGTCGGGAAAAACCCATCTCCACAAGTTGCTGCGTCTTCGGATCCTGCAACCCCCAGGCTTGAAGAGCCAGGTTGTGTCACACCGTACAAACAGGTCCCGTGCCTGCTGATCGCCCTTTGACGATGATGCTCCATCGCCGGAAAGCACAACGACCGCTTCGGAACTTCCACGAGCAACCGATGCTTTCGGGGTCTGGTCTAGTGAAATGCATGGCCCGGATTGACATGGATCCTCGACCAAAGCCTCTGAAGTGCGCTGCCGTTTCGCCGGTGTTGGTAATGGCACGGAGGGTGTCTCAGGAGCTTGTAGGGCTGGTGCCATGTCCACTAATGGCACAACCTGATGGGATCCCTCGCTGGCACAGGCCGGAGATTCCGGTGATGTTGGTGGTGCCACTTGTTCGAGACAGGCAGGCACTGCTTGAAGGGCGTCATCAGCAAATTGGGCCACGCCCTGCTTCGAGGGCACACGAGAGAAAACCAAGACTGATGCTTCGCCCATCCACGCCTGGGCATGTGATTGGGCCACATGTCGGGCTCGTGCTGCTGCTAGCTCCTGAGGTTACATGCCGGCCGTCACGACAGAGCAGTCACAGAACCTGCAGCAGAATGACTGACTGCAAACCAAGCGGCCTTCTCAAGAGCCTCGACACGTGCTTGCGCGAGCTTGCTCTCCAGCTCAGCAATGTGTACTTCCATGGCCTGAGCTCGGGAAGACAAGTCAAAGGCGCGCTAACCGTGTGGCAGCTTTGCATTTTGAGCCTCACCAGCAATTAGAAGAGAGTGTCCTTAATCGCAGCCCTCTACAGTACACTCCTTGGATCTGCATGAGAGCGGCTGAAGGACCCTTCAGTGCAAGCTTCCGCAAAGCTGATCGCACATCGGCTCCCCAGAATCTAAGCAGTGTTTAGTTGCCAAACGAAGCAACCCGCAACATATGCTTTCTTCCTCGTGCTGACAATGCAGACACGACAGCTACTAGACTTTCTTCCGCCAAGGGCATGTCCCAGCCTACGGCTTTTATCTACTTTCAATCTGCCAAGCTCTGGTATTGAGCAAACAGCTTCGTCCCGCGCTGTTCAAAGTCATCACAAGGGTCCCACACGCTTCCTTCAATATGTGGGACCTCCAAATCTGCCACGAAGTCGGGAACCCGAGGTTCGCGAAGTCGCAGGAGTTGCACCTCAAAGCGTTCACAGCGCAAGAAAGCTTGGCGGGGGGGTGGCATTACTGTGACCCTGGCGAGGCGAAGCAAGTAAAGACACTCCGGCTGAATGCTCGCAATCCTTTCATGATTTCATTCAAACTGCCGCTGCCATGAAGCGCAACATCATCCAAGCACGAATTTTCAGGCCTGGACACCCCAGCTGCCTGGCAAGGCAACGACCGCAGCATGCATGACTTCACGTTTCCAACTCACCCTCCCTCGTAAATACCGTGTTTCATAGCTGGGGCTCCTGTTCCTTCGCATGAACAGCTCTCAGGGACAAGAAGACCTCGATGCAAAGCACCAGGACCTTGCAATACTCTGGCTCTGATTGCTTTGGCCTTTCTTGTCACGGATGTTCGGGGAACGAACAAGATCGATGGTTGATGGCTCTTCATGCCAACACTGCGTTTGACCAAATGGGTCGGCCTCGTCGTGCGCTACCGGCAACTGCTCTGCCAACAGTCCGCAGATCCTTAATCAAATCATGGCAATTCTTCAGCTCTCGTGGCATGCCCCTTGTTTCTGCGCATGCTCCTGCGCTGCCTGACGGAGCCAAGCTCTCTATGCGCAAGTACCCAAAGTTTTGGGAAAGTAGAAACACTGGAGCCCGGGCTCGACGAACTGGTAAAAATCTGCGCTTTGCTCCGAAAGTCTTTCGGTAACGACTCAGCATGTTGCAGCCTATGACAGGCCGAAAAATAAGACACTCAAACCAACGATGGCGCTGCCTCATCAAGGGCAATGGCACAATCAGACAAGGGTGAGTAAGCACTGCATGCGAGGTGGCTTCCTGTAGCAGCAAGAACAGCAGAAAGATACATGTCAGCGTAAGGGCCGCACTCGTCTATGTCCTCCTGGCATGTGGTGCCCTCCAAGCCTGCATCAAGCGACTCAGTAGGGCAATATCAGGGGCAGGGACCAGACATGATCTCATATGCACTTGCCGGTTCAATCCCCGGAAAGAATCACTCGGAAAAGCTTGCTGATGCAGCTTTGCAGACTGCGATGCTATGCGACTGTTCCAACTTTCATGACTTCGAAATACAAAGCAAGCAAGCACACTTCTGGACTTCTCGAACTTTCGCCTAGTCTCATATGACTTGAAATCATCGACTGGGAAGCTCTTCCACTTGTCATCTCGACTGATCTAAACACAAGCCTGTCCAGTTGGGCAACCTATTCAATCTCGGAAGCCACGCCGAACAAGGGAAAAAGCATGAAGGCACGCAAGATGAGCCAGACAGAAGACAGAGAACATCAAAAGCGTTCAATCAGCGTGGGGACTGTGATGCCTTGACCCGGCTGTGCTGGATCCCGTAGATGGTGGTACCTCTCGGGCGGCTCATGGGCGGGTTGCCGCTGCCACTTGAGATGCCCAGGCCCAGATGCTGCTACTAGTACTGCCAAGTCGTGATGCAAATCGGCCTAAGTGACGATGAAAGGGGTTAAGGGTATCCTTTGTAGTCGTAAACACCAGATGCGACTTCGGAATGCCCAATTCGACCTGCCTACGTGCTGTGGGTCTGCAGCCAATCTCAAACCCGGTCTTCAGGAATCGCCGCATGACCCTCTGCCTTGCAAAACATCTAAACTTCTAAACCCAAAGCAGCCCCAACAATCTACACCAAACCCAAAAGAAATGGCAACTCCATCACAGCTGCCAACCCCGCCAACATCTGCAATGTTCTCCCCAACTAAACCGAAACACCTCCACAATCCCGAAGCCAAGCATAACCATTCCTTTCTTTCTGACCAGTCAGGCATGTTGACAGAGAGGGCTGGACGTCCTGCTCCTTTGCCCGATGATGCAAACGGAGTTAGGTTGTCACGGTTGTGAGTCTTGCGTTGAACTTAGGCACTTGGTCCACGTTGTGGTCAGGAGTCAGGAGCTTTGGTTGAGATCGGAATTGAATTGCAAGCCAAGTGTGGATTTGGGGAGGTGGCTTGTGTCTGCGATTCCAACACCGTTGTGCCGAGATCCTGGCTTAGTTCACGCCCAGTCATGGGTGTTGGGGCGGGCAAGTAGTGCCCGTGCTGGTTTAATCGGTTTGTTCCTGGTTTCGGAAAGCATGACATGAGGTCCGGGGTCAGGCATCGCTTGCCGTTAAGTCGGCCACACATCCCCGGAACGCTCCATCCCGAGGCACATGAACGCCAGCAGGCGTAGTTCCCGATTCTTGGTCTCCACCTGGCCCAGCTGAAGGGAATCGCTGCACGACACGAACAATCGATGAGCACAGCATTGGGATTTTGCCTCGACGAAGTTTCGCCAGAAAGCCTCCGCAAGCGATTGCAGTGCTCAGGGATGCAAAGGGCAAGCATCGGCACACCCTGTAGTCTTCGCACCACTATCACATGCCCAACCGCCTTCAGAGCGTCCGTCACCTCTCTTTCGGGCTTCAAGGCTCGACCTGGACAGGGAAGCACTTCAGAAATTCTGAATTTATTCCAAGCTCCATAACTGCCTGTCAACGCCAGGGGCATAGGTGAAGGACGCGAGAGGTCGGCACCTGGGCAGGCACCAACCTCACAACAATTTCTGTTTCCAGGGCTGAAGCACCGTGCTTTCTTGCCTTCTCCTGGGTGCCGGGCACAGGAGTGGCCTGTGCTGCGACAGCAAAATCCAAAATTCGCCCAGCCAGCCCTCCGAATGGGACGTGCTAGCAGCACAAATCCGCACTTCCTGCTCTTCTTCTGGGATCTCTCTTCGATTCCTTGCACACACCGCGGCCCGGCTGTGGTCCACACTGGAGTTCCCTCTCCGCAAACTTCTCCGCCAGGCCTCGCCTCAGCCGCCGCATGCCGCTACGGGGTTTCCTGCGAGACTCCGAAGACCTTGGAGACCCCACGCCGTGCCGCGCAGGAGCTCCGTGAACTTCGGGTGCTTCAACATCATCCTACGCCAGGCAGGGAATCTCATAATCTTGTTCGGGCTTTGGGCTGGGGCTACACAGCCAATTCCTTCTTGCACAAACTTTTTTGCGATGCTTCCTTTTTATGCATGTCTCTAAGCCCCTGCGTGGGATCCCGACAAGCCGTTGAGGGTGCTGCAGCTGGCTGCTGAAAGCAGCAGCATCTGAGCAAAATGGGAGACGATGCGGGAGCGTGGAAAGTCCTCACAGTCTTGTGAAGGCCAGAGAAAGCACAATACAGTAGGCGCTAAATTCCGAAGGCACTCCGAGAAGCCCCAAGCCCGACTGTCTTCCTAAAGGTCATGAGTGGATTCGGGCCTTCTCACACAGGAATTGCTTGTGTGCTGAGTGCCTCCAATGCTATCTGCAGAAGCTTCCTTTGGAAGTCTGTCAGAACAATGGGAGAGGGTGCGCCGTGTCAGAGTCACGAGAGCTTGCTAGAAGTTCACGTCTCACCCATCCCTGCTTTGGGCAGGAGAATCATTCGGCCGCGGGCCATGCCTGGGGGCTCCGGAGCGGGCGCAGCTTTGGCGCAGCTTTGGCGCAGCTTCGGCGCAGCTTTGGCGCTGCTTCGAGCGGCGCGGGCTTCAGCTCAGTGCATCCCTCCATCGCCTGCGCCGTCTTCAGGCCGAGAACGAAATGAAACAAGCCCATATTTTGCAGTACGCATGAAGCCGGCCTGGTCGCGTCGGACACGTCCGGGGACGGTGGCCACCTTGGCTCAGATGCGGTGAATGTGGCAAGAGGGGACCTGTAGTTGCTTTCATGACCAAAGCTACTGCCAGGCACACAGGTCGACATTGAGTACTTCTGAACGAAGTTCAGCCCTAGCCACGAGGAAGCAGATGTCGGGGTGGACCGTTCTGCCAACCGCACCTGCGATCGGGACATGTCCGGACATCTTTGAACTGATTTCACGGAGCCTCGCGCTGACTTGCACTGTGGCGAAGAGCAGCTGCCGCTATCCTGGGCTTTCTTCATGGATCCGAGCTGCAGCACACAGCAAGTGGGCAAGACGAAATTGGACCTCAGTCTGACACAGCATGTCAACCGAAGGACTCAGTGCACTATCCCATGCGTGATTGCACTGAAGACGGAATCGGAGGGTACAGCATCTGTACAGCTTGTTCCTGCAAGTCTCCTCTCAGCAGCTTCTCTGGCTGTCGAAGGTGTCCCCTGCGCAGGAGACACTGCGTTGTCCAGGACATCCGGCACATGTGGATGCTGTCGAAAGCTCTTGTTCGCCTCGATTCCAGGCATGGCATCTCTCACTTGCATTGCTTGAGGCTCCATTTCTGTCCCGCCAAGAAGCCGTCCTCCACTGCGGTGCTTGTGCAAGGCTCAGATTCATGGCCTGACGCCGCGGACGGATCGCTGCCGGCGTTTTTGGCCGAGTCTACAAACGTGTAAGCTTCCGAGGAGCACCTCCAGCTCAGCGAAGAAGGATTGCTTCCACGTGTCTAGCTCCTGTCACAGCAGGCACAGCATGACACAAGAACTTGGCTGCTCAAACAAGCTCCGCCGCCTTGTGCACATGAGAGCTTTGTCTCGCGTTGCAAAGATCTGGTGCCTGAGTCTGCGTCGTCAGCATGCAGTCGCCAACAAAGTCCACAACCTTTCAAAACTTTACAAAAACCCTTGCAGATTGCCAGGTGGCAGGATGCTGATACCGAGCAAGGCCTCAGAGAAACGAAGCAAAACAGAAACTTGTACGCCTTGCTCGTCCTGGATAATTGCGGATGAAGTCTCTTTCGACATGGGCAGCGCTCTGCTGGGCCAAGGACTGCAGGGTCGCGGACCTGGGAGGCAAGGTTCATCTCGGCCGCTGTGCGTTCTGCAGTTTCGTGGTATCACCTCGTTACAAGTAGCTCGTTTGCGCGGGCTTGTCACGACACCGACGCAAAATCGCAGCGCAGATGGTTTTGGAGCGGCTCTATCTAGTCGCGAAGTGCTGCCACTGCCAGGCAAGGTCTGTCAAAGTCCGGGTAGATCAAACAGCACAGAAACCCCACTAGACAACCTTGTGCGGCTGAGCTCAAGACACGCAAGATTGCATGGTTGCAACTTCCTGCAGGATGCCGGTGTGCACCTGCAATGAGGCAGTCGGACGCTCAACTCAACCTCAAAATGCACTCAGATGTAAATTCTCTCAGAAGCCACACGTGAACCTGCAGAAACTCGTTGTAGGAACGTGAGCCCCCCGCCTGTCGAGTTGCCTCAACCACTGAAGTTAGCTGGTGCTGAAGCTGGGATGATGTCTCCCGCTGGACTGCTTCAACCTCGCGAAGTGGCAGCAAAAATGTCGACGTTGGCTGGTTCATCATCGTCTTTTTCTCCATGATCAAGTTCCCAATTTCGGGGATCCGAAAAGAGTCAGTTGAATCTCGATAGTTGACATGGCACCATTCGGACACAGAACTCTCGGAAAAGGCACCCGGCGTTTGGCTTTCGTGCAGGTGTCCGTTTGGAACGGAAGACTCTTGTTCTCCACACGAGCAACCACAGCCAACTTTGCGCGCGCATGGTTCAGACTGCTGGTCGTACAGTCGCAACGTTTGCTGCCGTGCCTTCCGAGAAAGTCAGCCGGGAAAGCTGCTTCCACCAACAGGAACCAGGTTCAACGAGTGCCGTGAACTCCGCGCACCTTGCAAACCTCAGTCCTTTCAACACTGCTTGCTTTCAGGCGTCACTGCCGCTAAATCCCACAGACTCTGACCACCTATTCACAAAACCCGGAGAGAGAACGTATGCTTTAAACTGAATTGTTGCAAGAGCTACATATGAACAGCGAAAGAGGGAGTGAAGAACGTCTGTAACACCTGTACACTTAGACTTTCTTCGATCTGCTTGAGAAGACTGTTCTCGGTGACGAAGGCTATGTGATAAAACGTGCTCCGATGCTTTGGGTAAAGGGCGCAGCTTCCCTGCCGGAAGCTGCACGCCCCTAGCTTGGGTTGCTTCAAGGATGGTAAATACCTCGCGAGGAATGGGATCGCTGCAACAATGACTTGAACAGCCAGGCAAGTTCAGATCTAACACCCTCGAGATCGAGACGAACGATATCCGAATCCCAGTGTCCGAGGACTTGTATCCTCCAGACCAATTGTAACTCCAACATCAACACGACACAGGCTCTCGTTTGCCACCGCTGCTATTGATTCGATTGTTGGCACCTGTGACTTACAGCGGCATCACTGCATCTGAGATCTTGGATTAGTAGTCAGCAGCATGTGTCGGTGAGATCCTCAGTAATGTTCTGTTCGAGGTTCCACATGGTTCCAGGCGGGCAATCTACCTGCATCCATATCTGATACTGTTCAAAAAACCGCTGGAGGCCTTTCTGCTCTTCTATACTTCTATAAATTGTCATGCTGACCTGTGATGCTTTGCAGTTGCTGACTTCTTGATATGGCTGCTGGCTGACTCAACATTATTGCAGCCTTCACAGCAGCCGAATCATCCCCCTTCACATGTCTACAGCCTCGGAACAGCACCACAACCCCTAAAACATAACCACGGAATGAAAAGAAGCAGAGGATTCCGGTGAAAAGTGGACAATGGTCGTTGCTGCCCGTGGCCTCGTGCAGGATGCGCTCTAAACCACCGTCGCCGATGATCGGCGATACGAGAGCCTGCATGGACGACAGGTGCTGTTGAAGGATTGCGCCAGTTTCCAAGCTGAAACCCGAGCCCGAGACAAAGCGTTACATCGGGGACTGCTCGCTCAATCAAACCCCTCTCCCACTGCTCAGTGCTCGTCGCACCTTCGACCGCAGCTCCTTCAATAACGTGTCCCTGAGGTCCTCGATTTCCTGGAACACAAGATGGCAGCTGCCTACAGAAACAAACTCACGGTTGGCTTCCAACCTTGGCGACACTAGTCCCAGGCGTGTCGAAGCCGAGGTGGAAGGAAGGCTCGGAGTGTTGGGGCTCGGATGTCTGTCGTCGCCTTGGATACACAGGTCGCCAACAAAGCTGTCGACTCAGCAAAAAGCACTACTGTGACGCGGTGTTTGCGACATCCCATGGTATGTCTTGGAAACTTCCTCTGCCAAGCATCTCCCGAATCGGATTGCTGTTGAACTTGCCCGGCGAAAGAACCTCCGTCAGACTGCAAAATGATACCACCACCGCACCACTGCACGAGGGAGAAGAGCCACAACAATGCCAACTGTGGAGACTCTCTCCTGCTTTGCGTTCATCGCCACGCCTTTCCGCACCCCTAGGAGTTCTTGAGTGTACTTCAGGAGCCAAGGCAACTCCCAGCCAATGCCTGCGGCATCCTGCGGCCTACAAAGCCCACTCAACCGTAGACGAAGATTCCCAGCTCTGCTCCGCTCCCAGAGGCGGAAGGAGTTTTTGCATTTTAACAATGCAGGTACAGAAACAGACTCGACTCATAAGACAGTCTTGAGGAGGCTTCTGCCGGGAGCTGTGGCACGATGCCAGCATCGGCCAACAAGCAGCGGGCAGAGAGAGAGAGAGAGAGAGAGAGAGAGAGAGAGACAGAGAGAGAGAGAGAGAGAGAGAGAGAGAGACAGCCAGGCAGACAGAAATCAGGAGCCTTGGTTGCCTTCGGCGAGGTCGCAGATCGGGCTGCAGCTGTAGCTGGTGGGCGCAGAACCTGAAATGTATGGCCCTGGTGCACGTGACTCGAGGGTTCGGACGATCATGACTGCATCATACAGTACAGTATGACAAAGTTCGGACCCTGCGCCAGCAAGAGAGGCCGCAAATCAAAAGCTTCGTCGAGCGTGCCTGCTTGCTCGGCGATGATTTAGGAGACGATGCCTTCTGCAAAACCGAACTTGCCATACACTGCCTACACTCAACGTCACGATTATGAGCAACATTGGTGTCATGAGACATGCTCACTCCGCCCATGCCAAGCAGGTGCATGTCGCTCCTGTGGTCATGCAGAACCCAACAATGGTGCAGTGACCTCAGTAGCCTTCGTGCATGCTGACGCCGTCAGCATACACGCTTCCTACCTTCTCCGGTTCCGCACGCATTTGAGCATCGTCAAGCAAGGATTACGAAGAAGCGCTTTTCTTGAGCCTGCGTTTCCGTCTCGAAATACTGCGCGATGCCAGCAAGAAGACTCTCGCACCTGAGGTGCCATTCAGTTACAGTTTTCCTGCAAAGAAAAGCCCGTGCGGAAATCCAGGAGGAATTGAATAAATCATGTCCTACCAAGGGTCCGAGCCTGTCTACTTTGACCTTCGTCTGTGCCGTGATGTAGTGCAACTCCTCGGCGACATCGCTGACAGCCGAACCATCAAACCGCAAAAGTCGATGCGTCATGCGATTTGTTTGGTGTGCACCAGGCGGCCACGATGGAGATGGGTCGCAATCCCTCTGCCAAGTGCACGATACTCTGACCTTACGTCGTGACACGACGACTGAAGAAAGCGAAGAGAAACGAGGAACTCGGAGGAGCTTCACGGCTGCTGTGGCCGGTTCCATAACTCCCGGGAGAAAGCCGAGAACGACGCAGAACTCTTTCTTGTCGATGGAACCACTGCCATCCTCAATCACCACGCAGCAGCAACTGTGGAGTCTACTTGCCCGACCATCACCTCTTTTAATCACAAGCTTTGCAGCCAAGCTTCTGTGTCCATGCAGTTCACCTGACAGGGAATAGGAATAGGACCTAAAGCACATTCTTATGCAGCCGAAGTCAACCAGGTCTCCGACTGTGTTGACGAGATCCTCTCGAGCGAAGGGCACGCCCTCTTCGACGCATAGCTCGCCCAATGCAGGAAGAATCTGCATGATGTCGTCAATGGATGCATGACCTGCTAGATTCTGCCGCATCAACCACATGCAATGCATGATCCCAAAGAAAACGCAGGCGCCTTGCGCACTTGCAATCGTCTCGAAAATGCCTTCACAGCCTTGGATGATCCTGTTGACAAGGATACAGGGGCTCCAGATCACTCATGGCCCACGTTCCACGTATCCGAACTCTTGAATTTGTCTGGAGGACCCTCCTGAGCCTCATCAGATCAAGCGCTTCAGGAAGAAACCCTTGTCCTCTGCCGCTTCTCCTCGGCCTCCGCGCGCTCCTGCTCGATCCTGGCGTCGTTCTTGTCGAACATGCTCTCCTTGGTCCAGCTAAAGCTCCAAGGGGGCCCCCACTCCGACTGCTCCATGCTACGGCTTGGCACCGTGCACAGACGAGGCCAGTCAACAGGCCTACAATGCCAAAGCTCACCTTGCTGACATGCGCGGCATGGCAGGGCATGCGGACCAAAACTTCCCTTGCATTCAAGATGCAAAAACGACAAAGGCTATGAGAAAGGCTGCCAGGAGCGCGTCAGACTCCAGGACTTCCCTGCCGTTTCTGCACACATGCACGACCCGACCCGTGTGGCATGTAAGCTTCACGTCACCGTTGAAAGCGGGCACACACGATGGGCCCGGCCAGTAGGGCATCAAGTCTGGCTCGGACAGCAAGAAGAACAAGGACAGCATCGACTTCCGGAGAGAGCCGAAGTGAGCGTTCAGAAACTCCTACCAGTGTGTTCTGTGCAAACACCACTGTATATCCTCAAACTCTCATCAGTCCATTCTGCCACGACAACTATACGCTCCTGATGCTCGTTGTCCTGCATGAACGGAATTATCAATCGAACGCAGACAATCGACGTGACCTCGGGAGGACGGTGGAAGCAGCTCGAAACAACTCTGGTCTCGTTTCGCCCGTGCTGAGCGCCGAAGCATATATCGCCGCCAGCATCAATAGGGACACATTTCCTGAGTGCACAGCACAGTGTGGAGCTTGATGCTCTCAGAAGCGGCTCGTCGCAGAGGAGCTTCTAATGGCAACAGCAGCCGCTGCGAAGCCAAATGTAAGGACGTGGAAGTCCTCAGTAGCCGGCAGCAGATGGAGCAATCAGCTGCTCACATGATCGGACCTAGCCTGGATATAGACTTTCCCACTTCGGGGAGTAGGCAGGCCTCTTCGACATCCCAACATCGCCACCGCACACTCTCCGGAATATGCCAGCCCAATCCCCTATCCGATCCCCACAACGCGCTGGACGGAAGCGGCTTATCCAACCCGGCGGCTCGCAAGAATCGCAAGAGACGGATCATCCGCATGACTCTCAGCAGCCGGATGATGCGCAAGAAGGTCATGAAGCTGCCCTCCCAGCAAAAGCTGACATACATATGCTGTGCTTATACTCAGCAGTGCTTCAGCGATTGGAGAGCCCCGCCTTCTCGTGCCTCACCGGCGAGAAGTCAAACATAACATCGAAGCAACCAGCGATGACGACGCAAAAATCAAACAGGTTCCTCTCACGACAGCTCGTTTGACAGGAAAGACTCAACTCAAGACCACTAAAAGAAGGCTGACAAAAGCAGAAGCAAAGCGCTCCAGCTGAAGTCTTCGTTCGCATAGGCGAAAAATTTTGTCGGCCCGGAGACGAGGATCCGCAGAAGCAGCTCGATGGAAAAAATGCCCAGAAATGCAATTTCCAGTACCTGGGGACACGCAGAAAGATGCAGAAAGTACATCTCGAGATCCTTCCCGGGATGAGGTCAGAGGTGTAATAACAGGTCAAAGGCTCCCAAGGCCTAGGACCCTTTCGCAATAATCCAAAAGGACACCGGTGTGGCACTAATGTGGCTGGCGAGAAAAGTCCCGCGTCTCGTTCGAGCGAGTGAGGGAACTCTGGGCCTCACTGCACCCCACTCGGGCCATAGGCCATAGGTGAGGGAGTGTCGCAAACGAGAAAGAATCAGTTTCCAGCACGAGGTGTAAAAGGTGAGAGCCGCTCAATGGTCGTGTGACACGAAGCCAGCGCTCCGGATTGAACCCCTGGTTGTCGGGGTGCGTAAGCTCGTCCGCCCGCCGGTCTAAGTCGCGCTTCACGTGGGAGGAAGATTGACGGAGCCAAGGTGCATCCTTTGGGTGAATAAAGAGCATTAGTTCCATCAGGACCGCCGCCGACGGCATCTTCCTGGATTTGATGTCAAGGAGGGAGTAGATGTTCTCTCTCTCTCTGGTTGTGGGGAATGATGGCCGACCAGCCTGCAATATACGCCGTGGAGTCGGAAGCGCTCCCACACTAGAGCCCCACCAAGAGGACCCCGCGGCGAATGGGGAGTTCTGCCTGTGGGGAGCTCTGAAGTTTTTTTCTGCAGGAGTGCAGCTCAAGAGCGGATCAAGGAACCGGGCTTGCCTGATGTCTTGCAAGCTTGCTCCCAGGCCCAAAAGGCTGAAGCAGAGACTTGGTCAGGGGGCAGCAGGTCGTAGCCCACTGGAGTCTCCCAAGTCCTTTCTCGATGTCCCTGCCCCCGTCTCCCTTCGAGGACCACTTGTCACTTGTCCCCTGCTGCTCAGCTGCTGCTGCGGTGACCAGAAAAGGGTCTTGCCCCTGCCTTTGCCCTTCCAACAATTCAGGTCCTTGCCTTTGTACACCTCGCGCTGCCAGAAGAGGCAGTCTCCCTTGACCCTGCCTAGGGCGGTCTTGAAGGTGTTCCTGGCATAGACCAGAGTCAACCATCCGCACCGCATATCAGGACCCAGTCTGAGGGCGAGGGAGGACCTGCCCGCTATGTCCTCGTACCACTCGCCCAAGTCCAGCTTCTCGATGTCGAATTGGTTGAACTGGGGTGGAAGCCCCCATGCACGTGAGGAGCGTGTTCCTGAACACTGACGGGAGCTGCTCCAGCTGCCGCCTGGCAGTGGGCTCCTTCCGCTCCTCCTCTTCCTCTTCCTTGCCATCCATCCACCGTCATCTTGCGCCTGGTCTTGAGGGGGGCCCGGAAGGGCGGAGACCATAATCTTCTCGAAGGAGAACCATCCGATCTCCCCAATCCGATGTCTTGAGTGACGATGACTGCCAGGAGCTGCTTGCGATCACAGAATGCTGGCCAGTGCCTCACTTCGGGTGGTCCGAGGCAGCTCGGACAGCTCGGACAGCAGCATGACGAGGACCCTGTCTCGATCAGAAAACCTCATGTCCAGGCGTTGGCCCCGGTAGACCATGCCCGGGGCCCCAAACCACTGCTGCAGCACCCTCCCTCCCTCCTGCTCCCCCCCCCGCTCACAGAAGCCGTGCTCCGGCAAAAAAGCGTTGCTCTCCATTGCCTGGGTCAGCTCGTCCGCTAAGACTGGACGGCGTCGATCTTTGGCACCAGCATCTTGCTGTGCAGAGGGCCCAGCATCGGCCTCGGACCATCCCTCCTTCGGCGAGGGTTTCTGCACCGTCTTGGACGCGACCTTCACCGCCTCGGACGGTTTCCCACTCCTGGTCCTTTACCCGGTCCTCCTGGCACTGGGGTCACTCGACCCGGCTCTCGAACGCAGCGGGTCTGCGTCGTGGGCCACCCGCTGGTAGATGGTGTCGCTGTAGCTCATGTCGTTCCTTTGCCCGTCGAAGAGGGCTGCGCCATGCTCGAGGCCCGGACCTCAGCTGCCTCGAAAGTGTCCCTCAAGACGGCGTCCTGGGGCTCCAAAGTGATGCTGCCATTGCGCAACAGCATGCGCCACGTTTGGCCCTCGATCTTCCACTTGCTGGCACCCTGGACCCAGATAGCAATGCAGCTGTCTACCCCCCACCGATTCTTCAGAAGCGCCTGCCTCATGCTGGAGTTGTCTCTTCGCGATGTAGCAGATTCTCCACCTCCGGCATGCCCTGGGTGTTCAGGAATCCGTCCGGACCCTTCTCCGTGCTATGCCGCCTCCGCCACGAAACCAGCCAAGTGGCGGCTCACCCACCAACATCTTGAGAGGGCGTCGTGGAGAAAGCCGTTGTGATTGAAGAAGCCACGAAGCCAGCCAGGGGCTGGCTCCCGGCCGAGGGCTCCCTGTCAGCAACCCCCGGAGTCATCGGTACTGCCTTGGCCCCACAAGATTGGGCGGAAATGCTCCTCATGTGACCGCGCTCTCAGGCCACTCCATTGCCTGGTCCGCCTGTGCGGTGTCTTCATCTTCACCCAGGTTGAGACGGGCCACGGTCTTTTGCGTCTCCTCGAGCTTGGCAAAAACGTCATCGCGGGTGATGTTCTCCACGATCTCTACCTCCGCATCGTCCGGATCGGCAGTCAATAGAGCGTGGCACCGTCGATCTTCCACAGATCCCTTGCTGCCGCAAATAACGACAGTCCAAGCATCAGCGGGGGTAGCTGGTGCTGCCATGGCGAGCAAAGGCGAGCGAGGGAAAAGTTTTAATCACAGATGTGCGGCGTGTGTGGGAACACCAGTCGCTTGACCCAAATTGGCATTCGCCATTGTGACTCAATCGTATTGATGACATAAGAATTAGCCATATTGCTTTGTCACGATGCGCCTCCTTCAGTGTACCTGACTACGTCTTGTCTGGCTACAGGCCGAGTTGTGAAACACTCCTAAGACGACTCTGACAGATAAGACTGCACTACTCGTCAAGCGGTATGCGTGCCAGCAGCTGGCAAGATGGACTAGATTTGGACGATTATTGGCTGTAACTGTCTGCACCAGCCATGCGCCATCGGAGGACCTAGTATCTGTCTGACAGAAAGAACAGGGGAACATGTTGCTCAAAGAACGCAGAGCTGCTGCCCAGACTTCCCCGACATTGTCTGTCTCCAAGCCAATGACGATGGCATTGGCAACGATCAACGTGGAGATGAAAAGCTGAGAATGAAAACACAAGCATGCAGAAACCAGTCTTACGCAGACCACACGCAAGCAAACTCTCCAGATTTGCTTAGGCAAGGTCGTTAAATCCGACACTGTGGAGCAATTCCTCCCAGCAGTCGGGCTGGCAGCAGGACTTCTGCTGAACTGCTGCATCCTCACATGCAGAACGAAGTTGGAAGGTAAGTGATCTGACAGTTTGAAACTCATTGTGCAGTCTGACGAGAGACAGAAAGAAAAAAATACAAGGAATCCGGTGAAGGCACCAAGACTGATGATGCAAGGCCTTCTGGTGTCTCGGCTATGCGAAGTGGTTTTGTTAATCTTGCAAGGTCCCTGAAGTCTACCCAAGCTTTCAACCTCCAAGTCGGCTGCAAAGATGGTGAAACAGCAACTGAAAATCATGTCCATCGTCGTTGCAGCTGATTCCCTCCCAGCTAATTAGTACAGTACCGACGGAACATGCCCTTCGCTTGAAATCACACGTACCTACGCACCTACCTACCTCCATGCATACGTGCATTCATGCATGCATTCTAGTTACTATTGAATACATACGACAATCGCTGACACCTGAAAAGTCGTAAACCGCTCGCCAGCCCAAAACCAAGCCACACAGTCTACGGTCTGAAATGCTGGGGCGAAAGGTCTGAAATCTCCAGGCAGCGATTTCCAGTACCGCACGCAGTCCTTGTCAGCAGCACACTCCACATCAGGAACGAGACGGTATTGGCCCAGGTTGTCGGCTGACATCAGCGGGGTCCGCTTCACCTGCAGCGAACAAGCAGCGCATGTGAACAATCCCTCCCCCGCTGCAGGCACACCCTTGTTAGAGTTTTATCACCTCTCCTGTCTCCATCCCCCTCTGACCGGGCGCCGAACTGAGCTGTCGGAGCCTTGGCCTTGGCCTCGGCTCAGGGTAAAGGCTCTGCACTGCACTGCCCTTGCAAGTGTCCCAGTGGCTCATCCGCCGATGCGACGACATCTGCCCGCTTGCCATGGCTCTGCAAGAGATCTCGCGACGATATACAGACGCTAGCCGAATTCATCGTCTGCCACCGGGCCCGGACAGCCCTTTGCATCTTTGTTGTGAAGCCTTTCTGGAAGACTGTCTTTGAGAGGCCGCTGGCTCGTCTAGACAAATCCATTTAACAATGGGCAGCTTTATACTTTATACTTACACCGACACAGCCACGGGTAGACAGACAGAGAGCAAGGCAGTTGCAGAGATGATGTGGCCAAGCGTTCCGGCATCAAAGGCGGATTGTGGACCAGGTATTCGCAAGCGTCATACTACCAGCCTGAGGAGAACCACACAGCGGGGTCTCACCTTGGCAAGGCATCTTTCCTTATCGAGCTGCACAAATTCTACGAAGCATCTTGTCCTGTCATGTCCTCCTTCGCAGCGTTCTAAGGCCCGGGCTCTGCACAACACCTGCAAACACTAGCAAAATCTTCCGAAGACCTACCTCGTCTACCGTCTACCTCGTCGTCACTTCAACTTGGATGTCCCAGATGGTGTTTTGTGGGCTAAAGACGAGAGAACCAGAACTGCTGTGATAACAGTATGATGGTCATGAGTCATAATGCTGACACTAAGCATAGACTTCATCGTCATCATGACCACGAAATGATTTCTCTACCACGGCTCTTAACCTTGTTCCCGGGGCCTGGAAACATGGACCATGCAAACCCCTGTACTGGGTCCTTCTACCCTGAAAGTCTGAAGCCTCAGCTCCGTACCCCTGAACACTGAAGGAGAAAAACGAAAATAAAGATAAAGGCAACTGTGGCAACCATGGCAACAACAATGAAAACCAAAAACAGCTGTATGTCCTGACCAACCGTACAGATGAGAATTCTGATGATGATGATGATTATGATGATGAAGATGGTGATGGTGATGATGGTGATGATGGTGATGATGGTGATGATGGTGACGGTGATGGTCATGGTGATGCTGATGATGATGATGACAACGATGATGCTGGTGATGATGGTGATCATGGTGATTATGGTGGTGGTGGTGGTGGTGGTGGTGGCGGCGGTGGCGGCGGCGCTGGTGTGGCCTCAGTGGTGGCGGTGGAGGTGATAGTGATGGTTGTGGTGGTGGCGGTGGTGGTAATGACCATAACAGTGCTTCTGATGACAGCAATGGCGAATCATGAGGCTAGCAATGATAATCATACTTCTTGCCATAACTCATGATGACGCGATGATGGCATGAAGATTATGAATTATGATTATGTTACAACGGTGACTATGCCGATCCGTCCGATGCTACCCCGCATGCGAAGGCTGGGAACCAAGGGTCAGAATGCTAAACCTACCGACCTAGTGCCGATGCTGGGTTTCAATGCGCACCAAGATTACCGAGAACATACCGTGAGGCTGATACAGACGTTGCGCAGGAACATCTGTGGCATTGGCAGCTAGGCCGAGTGCTAGCGCGGGCTCAGAGGCACCCGGCACGTGCGTGCTGTATTACCTTTGGTTTCCCATGTACTCACGAAGATACCAGCATGCACATTACATATAAACATATATATACATACATACATACATACATACATACATACATATATATATATATTTATTTATTTATTTGTACACATACATATCTATCTACATAAGTCTTGTCTTCAACGTTCATAACTCTATCTTATATATATATATGTGATATATAATATAATATAATATAATATAATATAATATAATATAATATAATATAATATAATGATATATAATATAATATAATATAATATAATGTAATATAATATAATTTAATATAATATAATATATCAGAATATAATATAATACAGTATAATATAATATAATATAATATAATATAATATAATATAATATAATATAATATAATATAATATAATATAATATAATATAATAACAATAATAATACTAGTAATAATAATAATAAATAAATA